GGCTCTTCCTGCAACCTTGCCGAGACCCAGTGACCTAGGCTCGCACTCGAGGGGGCTCGGCAAACAAACCCCTCCTTCCGAACGAAAAGGATGCGCGAGGGTCGCATAAAAAGCCAGGGAAACTCCTGATCGCCCTCTCGCTCCGTGCAAGAGGCTCAGGGGCTCTTCCTGCAACCTTGCCGAGACCCAGCGACCCAGGCTCGCACTCGAGGGGGCTCGGCAAACAAACCCCTCCTTCTGAACGAAAAGGATGCACGAGGGTCGCACAAAAAGCCAGGGGAACTCCTGATCTCCCTCTCGCTCCGTGCTGAGGCTTGGGGGCTCTTCCTGCAAACTTGCTGAGACCCAGCGGCCCAGGCTCGCACTTGATGGGCTCGGCAAACAAACCCCTCCTTCCGAGCGAAAAGGATGCGCGAGGGCCGCCAAAAAGGATAGGGAAACCACTGATCGCCCTCCCGCTCCGTGCAGAGGCTCAAGGGCTCTTCCTGCAACTGGGCCAAGTCCTAATGACTCAAACTCGCCCTCATGGGCCTGGCAAACGTGATAAAATTCCTCGCTCAGCAGGGACAAAGCCCCTGTAGGGGTAAATCCACTCCTCCAGGGCCTCGGGGGCTACACCCGGCGGGTGCACTCGCGCGCACCCACCGGAACCTCAAAAAAAACAAAACACGATCCTGACGGGAGCAGCTGCAAGCCAAGTCTCGACAAACCCTCAGGAAAAGTGCTCGCACTCCCCCCGAGGCTCGGAGGTTACTGTCGGATACCATAAAAAGGGGTACCCTAAGCAAGAACCGAAAAGATTGCTTAGAACCTCGCAAATATCAAAGCCAAAGGACAACGACAGGGTCTCGGCCGATTCTCTGACTCGCCCGAAGCCCGCGTCGCAACGACTCACCACCTCGCCGAGGCCCCCTCACCGAGGCCCTCTCGTGTCGAGGCCCCGCTCCACAAGGCCTCGGACGGGTTACCGATTCTCCGATTCACCCGAGGCCCCGCGAGTGAAGCCTCGGACGAAGTACCGATTCTCCGACTCGCTCGAGGCCGGCTCGGCAACAACCTCGTCGCCTCCGCCTCGACCGATCTCCGACAAAACGTCACGCGTCCAACCACTCCCGCGATGTCAGCCGCACGTGGGCGCAGTACAGCAGGGTGGCCGACGGGACGTGAGACGAGGGACAACAGGGTTATCGCCATCAGTGCTCAAGATCGCACCCATGCACAGCATCCGATTGCCTTTGTGCTACCTAATTCGCTCCGGGGAGCAAAGACGCAGGCGTGGGGAAGCAGCATCGGTCGCTGTAGCCTCGGAATCGGGCGCATGAGACCAAGCTGCTCCCTCCAAGGCCTCGGCAATCCACTTCCGTGTCTCGGCGGCCTCGGGATTCGCGCGCCCACCGAGGCCCCCCACGATGGCTCGGTCTCGGCACCAACTGAGCCTCGGCTCTTTTCACCATCAACCCATAGCGACCAGCACACCGTCGGCCATACCCTGCGTCAAGATGTCACTGGAGCGCCCACGTCATACGAAATCGGGTGTGATCGGCGCGTTGCTCCAGTACATCAAGGACAAGACCACTCCATTGACCATGCCGCTACAGTAGTAAGCTACAGGACTCTAGCACGCCACCTCCGCTCGCCGCATGGCGAACACATCTATCACCCCTGTCCCTCCTTCAACTATAAAAGGGGAGACCGAGGCCGTTCTTATGGGGGGGACTCACGAACTTACGGAGATAGACTCACGTAGACACACACTCTCCCAAGCTGCCTGAGAGCAACGTCTCAAGCAGCCCGCATCGTTCCACGCCGAGACCTGGGACTAGCTCCCTCTCTCACCCAGCTTGTAACCCCCTACTACAAGCACTTCGGTGCAAGGAATACAAGATCGATCTCTCAGACTGGACGTAGGGCACCAATTGCCTGAACCAGTATAAACCTCGTGTCTCTTTGCATCACCATCCGGGATTAGGGGCACGCAGTTCACATTTACTAGTTGGTTGAGGACCCCCGGTCCGAAACACCACAGATTGTATTTGTAAAATTAGCTGACCGAATATGTTATTTTGATTAGGATTTTTGTGGTGGAACCTGCCTAGCCAAGTGTACAAAGTATGTGTGCTCTTATTCTCCCAGATTTATTCTAGAAAATAACAGTTCTACTTGTGTTTGTGGTAGGTGATGTGTCATGTGTTTGTCAACATCTGGCGGCCTATTATCTCAGACATATACATACTAGGATGATCGGCGCGCTAATGCTAAGTCAATTGACGACAGCCAAACTTCTAAGTGCGCGGGAGAGACTGAAGAAAGACGTGTCGATTAAGTAAGGGATCATAGGATCTGCAAAGCATGTACATTCGTCTAGCGGCCCACCATCAAATAGAAGGACCCATTCGTCGACAGTTTGCTTTCAAATAGAAAGGCCCACTATCCTTAAGAAAAAGGTCAAAACGGCCCAATGGCGGGATCCTTTCTTTATTATATCCATACCATTAACCCACTCCTACAAGATTTGACCACCAACGATAACAGCTGAATAACCACAATTTTATTTCTGTACCACAGTACAGAAACGAATAGTGGCAGCTTGAAATTTTACAGCAAACTTTTTTCGAATTTCAAACCAGTGAGATTAGAGTGGTGTGCCTTGGTTTTCTACAGAAACCGTGTAGAAAAGGAAAGGGAACGAGCAATGATAAGAAAGGAAGAGAACAATTGTACTGCGTGAATAAAAAGCACATCGCGAAAATGCATAATAGAAAATGCAAACAATCCTTTCAGTGTAACCAGAAAGGGGAAAAAATGAACGACGGGGTTTAGGTTTGTAGCATTATGATAGTTGAATATGAGGCAAACTGGAACCAACCAATCCAACCAAAATTTTCAGAACATGACGGAAAATGAATTCCGTAACCTACACTCGAGAATCAATTTACATACATATACGGATATTGCTTACACCACAACAACAACATTTACATTACCAGTACTATACACCCCAAAAACATAGAACAAAGCTCCGCTTACAAAACTCGTCTCTTCCGAGATCATTGACTCCAAAAATGAGTTACTTGCATAACTCACGCCACCTCAAAGCATTCCAATCAACCTATGCAAACCTTTCTTTTGCTAGAATGGAAGAGGATCCCCTCAAACTGTGACCTCCTTCCGTCCAAAACGGCCCTCAGACTTGTCCTCCCGGAACCCTGAAAACACAAGACATTTCTCAGTTTTAGTTCTACTTTGAGTTTTTCTTCAATGCACAGACCCAAAGTCTCAAACAGCTAGTTTGTCGAAAATTTCAGAGACAACATCCTCACATTAGTATCAATAATGCAACAGAGAAAAAAAAAAGAATACTGCTATAAAGATAGCCCATTTGTACAAACTCCTTACAACAAGAAGATCAAAGGGCTCAAATCACATGGCTGGTTGCCCAATTATGAATCAGAAGGTTCAAATCACAGGGTTGTAAAAGAGTTGTACAAATGGATTGTACAAGAGGTACTTCCCTAAAAGCAAAGGTGAATGATTGCACCAAAAAGGCAAGAGAGATAGACATTCCTTCTCTTAGCCAGGATTTTATCCCAAGTTTAGAACATATCACTAGATAATAACGAGAACACATCGATTCTGGAGGAACAGGTGATTTCCAAACAGATAAATGACGAACATAAAGCATGCATCTAAAGGTAATGACATAATAAGGAGACTGAAGAGTATAAATCTGAGATTAATTAACAGTTCCAAATCAAGCTGTCCTGCTCCTCATTCAACAGCAAAGATATGGCAATGCTCACAACTTCCATTTCAGGATAAATGTCTACTACCTGGACCCCAAATAGAGTACTAAACTGTGAAATCATGTATGACAAGCTTACTCTTACAGAATAGGGCTTCGATACCTGTAATTGAACATGACATGCATAATACTGTAACTAGCACAGTGATGTGGAGTAGATACTGGTCAGAGTCCTCAAACTGCTCAATAATCTACTTTGGAGATTCCTAGCATCACCTAAGCAACCATAAGCCAGCACAAGCTAAAACTGCAATTTTTTCCCCTAAGAAATACATACTCTAAAAAGTGAGGCTCTGCCCCTTTCCGATATATAGTGGCCATCAGACTAGTATGAGAAATTTTCAACTTGGCTGTGTCGAATTTTTCTGATACTATGACTCAATAGGGAGGAGTTAGAAGACAGAGGGACAGTTATAATGGGCTAAGGTGGCCTGGCCTAGTCTGATAACAACACCTCACAACAGTAACTAAAAAGCATGAAACACCTGAATAAGATTTATTAAGTGTGTACCATAGCATGTATTAGAAAAACAAACATAACTGTTAGAAACAGGATACGCCCCTTATTATACAATACTACAGGGTACACAGTAAACTGTTATTGATGGGAGCATGATTTCAAATAAGCATACATTACATAACTAAATTGCACACAGCATAGTTTGGTCTATAAGATTCTAGAAAAGAACCCTCTAAGCACAAATAATCCAAACTTTGCCTATTTATTCGCATAATCAACAACTCAACATCATCGTGAACAGTTAGCACGCAGTATGAACCCGATCCACACAGGTGGACAAGTGTAAAAAAGCAGACAGCCCCTAAAGGTACATCGCATGATCAGTCATCTCATCAGTGGCGGCATGGAAGGCAGCAACAGTTCATCTAGAGTATGGCCAGTGACCACTCAATCGTACAAAGTTAAGCAAGGCAAAACAGGGAAGAACTAAACATTCATAGGTGAAAAACAGAACAAAGAAAAAGAATAGCACAAGGCATGCGCACCACTTGCATCTGAGAATGAAAGATTCACACCTGCCCTCTTCCCTTCACCATTGCTATCATTGCCATCTGCCAACTCTTGGGGGGTGATACACGCGCCAGAGCTCATTAAGCCTACACATTCGCGCAGGGATAAAAAAAAGAATGTTTATAAGAAACAGAAAGGCACAGGACTGCATAGAATGAAAAGAAATACTTACGGTCCACCCATGTGTATTTTGCAGTCCCTCAATAGGCTCTGCAGAAAGGTCGGTAGAGCTTGGGGAAAACTTTTTGCTGCAAATTGCTCAAACTCGGAGAGCAGCTCAACATCGACATAATCGTCACCATGTCCCATTAAATTTCTTTTGTATTTCAGCAGCCCCCCAACTGTAGCCTTAAAAGGGTCTTTGACGCCTTCAGTATGCTTGCGCTTGAACCAGAAAACCTCATACAAGATGACATCTATGGCAAGTGTGTTTTCGGTACGTTCAGCTGGGATAAGTGCCTGCCAGTCACTATGTCCTCCTAGAACTGATTGGAGCGGCGTGCCTTGGCCTCCGAAGATTTTTGCAGCCTGCTTCAATCCACACTCTAGATGGCGGCGTGCCAAAGGTTGTTTCAGTGCTGGGTGAGCGAGGAGGTATTCCCAAAACCATTCTTGTTTCACTAAATTCTTGTTGGCCCCCTTCAAATCTTGTTCCAGTACATCGAAGTATAATGCCATTTCCCCACAACAATTGAACATTGGCATGAAAATATCTCCAATTTTGCGCAGGTCCTCTGCTATGCAGTGAGATTCATCTCGCATTGGCTCCTTAGTGATCACACATTGCGTGGAGTTAACCACCGCCATGTCACTTAAGCTAAATCCTCCATTCCAAGTAAGACCTTGTAAATGTCTATTGTAGACCTCTGTCAGAAAGCCATCAACCAACATCATGCCGACGTCATTTGCGATGCGCAGTTGGAAACTCCCACCAAAGATTGACTTGTTACTGGCCAATGGCTGTTCCCGTATGAAATGTTTAAGAGGTCTGATGCTATACAAGGACAAAGAAACCCAGCAGTTAATAATTTGTTCTGAAATATAGTTTGTGCAATTTAAATACAAGATAACACACCTATGGGGCATTTCAGAGAAAGTAACTTTCATTCTTTCAGCTACATCCTTCGTGATACCAATACTGGTTAGGAACTGGGATACAGTAGGATACACCCATTCATTGAATCTGCACAAGAATAGCATATGCTCACATACGAAACATGATTATTGTGCTAGCAAACACAGGATAAATTCACAGACAACACCAAGATTCAAGAAATGAGTAACTAGCGCTCGTTTAGTCACCAGAGTTTTAATGACATGGTATTGGAGTTGAATAATAAGTAAACTAAATCAGCAATGATCGAGTTGATGAAATATAGATTTTGCTTCTTCAAATTTGAGACATACAACTAAATCTAATGATACTGGATTTTGACCATCAACTTCGTAGCTACTACAATTTCACAATACGAACAACTCAGCAACTGGTTGAAGAACTCTCAAATACTAAAAACAGCAGACAAAACAGAGAAGTGCGCAAACACAATGCGAACCTGTCCTGCGAATTACAGATGGCATAGGCTAGTTCCTTATCGTATTTGAGAAGGCGCTGGAAAGCAAACACAAGACTGAACCTTCCTGCCACTGGCATCAATGAGACGATTGCATTCATGTCGCTAGCAGTCATTTCTGCGTCGATGTTGATTCTGAAACATTGACCGTGGGTTAGGATATAATAACCGTGGACGCCAAAAGCAGCTGAAAAGGAAAAAAAGTGCTTACTCGGCTTTCAGAAAATTAAGCAGCCGCGACAAAAGATTGGCATAAGAGTTTTGGTTGGCTGGACCTCTGACGACACTTGCATAGGTTGGCATAACGGAGCCGCTGGAGTCCATTGACATGTGAGATGGTCCCGAGGAAGCAGACGAGGAGCGGCTGCCGGGCGGGGGAGATGGGGAGTGCGCTCGGGCACGAGATGGCGTGGAGGTGGTGCAGAAGCCATGCTGTAGGGACCAGGACCAAGCGGCGGAGGCGGAGGCGGAGGCGGGGGACCAAGCGGCGGGACCCCGCGCTGCTAATTGGGGCACAGCGCCGAGGCGGAGGTGCGGCGGCGAGGGGCGGCGGGTCGCCGCCGCCGCAGAAGCGATGGATCGAACCTGGCGTTGCGGGGTCCTCGGCGTGGTGAGGCTCGGGGACTGTGGTTGTTGTTGCGGTTGCGCCTGATTCGAAGGCGCGCGGTTGCGAGGCCCTTCTCCGGCGGCCGGAGCACGGCGATCTGCCGCCGCGGAGTCGGCCTCCAGCACGCGCGGGCTCTTAGGCGAGCCGGAGGGCAAGGCTCGTTGGCCCCTCTTACGTCTTGTCATTGTGCTTCCCGCAGTTGGGGATGGCGGGGAGGATCCGGGCGGCGGGGTTCGGAGAGGTAGGATGGCGGGGTTGGCCGCAGCGTCGAGCGCGACGGACGGATCGGGGTTTTGGGGGCGGCACGTGAGATCGTTCTAGAATGGGTTTTGGAATACGAGTCATTATCGCGGACGTCATTTCCCTTAAAGGTGGACTATAGCAAGTAGTTCATAAAAAGTGGGCTGTAGTTTTCAATCACTTTTCGAGATTTCCTTCTCCTCTCATGCCCATGCCCATGTGTGGGATACCTAGTCCCTTCATTTCATCGATCCTAGGAGCTGCAAAAGTTTTTTTTTTCGAAAAAAAGAGCTGCAAAAGTTGTATCAGTGCATAATCTTTGATTATAAGATTATTAATCAACTAACCAACCAATGCACACACACTAGCACATGTTAATACTTATACTCCCTAATGTCAAAAGGAGACTGGGCAAAGTGGAATATATCCTAACGACCAGGGGGGAATCGCTATTATACGGTGCGTTATGTCTCTCTTTTCCTAACACGGAGATTATAAGATCCCGTGGACCCACCGGACGACCTGGAGATGGTAATGATTGGCACAACTGTGAAAATGACACACTCAAGTCTCAAAGTACACAACGAATTGAACCGATAGCGACAAAACAAACAGGAACCTATATCCTACCAAAATTCCTTGCGAGTGACGTTCAAGAATAAAATCCCTACATGTACACAGCATACTTACATATGGAATATATTACTATACGATAACAGGATCACTTACAGAACCCATATGGGGATACAACTCAGCATGCTGCGAAAAAAAAAATAGCTGCACCTTACACAACTCTCCTCAAAGACCCTACACTGCAAAATTACTGTACTTGTAGGCATAAGCACCACCACTAAAAAATGAGTTCCTTGCAGAACACAAGTTCGAAACCATCCTGTGCTAAGCTCTTTCTTCCTTGATTATGGTTCGGAGAGCCCTTTCCATCCAAAACAACCCTCAGACTTGTCCACCGGATACCCTGAAATCATTGCCGTAGCTATGTAAAAAAAAAGTGAACCATAATCATCAAATTAGGATGCAAGATCAAAGAGCTATGGCAATCTTAGTCATCCAGGTTACATGATACTGCGTTAGGAAAGATACGGAAGGAAGCATTGACTCATTAGGAAATTGGCCATTCGGTCGTACAGGGGAAAGTAAGGCAAACCAGACAAAAATTAAACTAAACATTCAAAGATGAAAAAACATAAGAAAGAAAACAAGTAGCCACACGTATGGCACTTGCATCTGAGAGCGAAAGATTCACACCTACCCCTCTTCACAAAATGCAATGCAGATGCCAGTTCTCCCTTCAGTATTACCATCATTGCCAACTCTTGAGGCGCGGCAAGCTTCCCAGTGCACCGCGAACCTACACATTCATGCAGAAAAAAGGGTTTATAAGAAACAAAAAAAAAAAGCACAGGAAAGCAAAGAACGCAAAACAAAAAAACTTACGGTCCATTCATGTGCATTTTGCAGTCCCTCAATAGCCTCCGCAGAATGTCCGGTAAAGCTTGGGAAAAGGTTTTTGCTGCAAATTGCTCTAGCTCGGTGTGGTCTTCAACCTTGACATAGTCATGACCATGTTGCAGGTAATTTCTTTTGTATGCAAGCAGCCCCCCAAATGTAGCCGGAAAAGGATCCTCAATATGCTTGCCCTTGTACCAGAAAACCAAATACAAGCTGCTGTCTGCAAGTGTGTTTTGGGTAAGTTCAGTTGGGATAAGTGTCTTCCAGTTACAGTAATCTCCTAACGCTGATCGTCAGCTCGTTTGGCTGTGGCTTGTCGTAAATGATCGTAAATTTTCAGCCGGACCAGTATTTTTCTCTCACACAAACCAGCCAACAGTACTTCTTAACGAACCAGTAACGAAACGAACAAGCTGCGTATTAGTGTGCCTTTGGCTCGGAAGCTTATCACAGCATGCTGCAGTCCACACTCAAGATTGTAGCGTGGAATTGATGGTTTCAGTGCTGGGTGTGACAGGAGGTATTCCCTATACCATTCCTCTTTCACTTCATCCTCACTGGCCCCGCTCAAATCTTTTTTCAGTGATTTGAAGTATAACGCCATTTCTCCATTATCATCAAACATTGGCATGAAAATCTCCCCAATTTTGTGCAGGTCCTTTGCTCTACAGTGAGATCCACCTCGCACTGACATCTTAGTAATCCTACACTTCATGCGGTTAATCACCACCATGTCAGTTATGCTAAATCCTCCATTCCAAGTAAGACCCTTTGTGTGTTTATCAAAGATATCAACCAGAAAGCCATGGACCCTGGTTGACACTGGCTGAGATGATTGGCCCCTTGTCGTAGGCAGTAGTTTCTGAGTAGATGGTGCATCTGAAACAGCAAGGACCCTGGGTTAGATTATATAATCCGTGGGTAGAAAAGGCAAGTATGCAAAAGGAAAAAATGCTTGTTAGATTGATCTCCACCTGGGCCCTCGGATCCGTGCCCTAATCGGGGGCGCGCCAACCCTATCATGGTTGGTGGGCCCCCGTCGCACAGGGCCATAAATAGGGAGGTGGGGGCCGGGGCGTCAAGCACGAGGTTCGCCTGAGCCTCCAGACACCCCACCGACATCCCAAACCCTAAGCCGATCAATAGAGGGGGCGCTGCCAGCGACGGAAAGCGCCGCCACCGCCTCTGCATCACGCCGGAGGACTGCTACGACGCCGGGCTGCCCTGCAACCACTAGTCTGACACCCTACGCAGCGGGGACGTGATGGACGGCTCGTCATCCACCAAGCCCGATGGTCAGATGCTCCTACATCTCCCTCTCTCTCTCTCTCTGTTTCCCTCGGTCTCCCTTTTCCGAAGCTAGTTCTAGGGCTAATTGAATCAACTAGTAACACGAACATCCTCTGATCTACACCTAGAAGGTTCCTAGAGGCTAACAATGGTATCGGAGCCGGTTCTAGGCGTAGATCAGATAGGGGTAGCAGTAAAAAAGAAGGAAGTGAGAAGAGATCCGTTCGGATCTAAGAAGAGAAGAGGGTTCATCGAACCCTAACCCTAATCGGGTGAAGAGAAGCAGTGAGAAGGGGGTCTCGATTTCGAAAATCAATCGAATCCTAACCCTAACCCGCGTAGACAGCACAGGGAAGAAAAGCAGTAAGCAAATCCTAACCCTAATCTCGACCTAACCCTAACCCTAATCCCCAATCGGCAAGATCTGAGAAGAACAGAGCAAGATCCAAACGGAGAAGAAGAAAAAGGGGAAAGGGGAAGAGGCCTACCTCGCCGCTGCACCGTGCTGTCGCCTCGCCGGCGCGTGAGAAGAAGGACGAGCCGTTGCTGCTCGTCGGGCTTGCGCAAGCTCTGGCCAAGGGCGTCGCGGCTAGGCCGATCGACGGCGGCGCGCTCACCCGCTAGGAAGCGCGTGCACCGGCGAGGGGGCCAGTGATGGCGCCATTCCCTCTCGGCTCTCGCTCTGTCACTGCGGGGTTGAGAGAGAGAAAGGGAAGAGCGAAATGGGGGCTAGGGTTTCGGAGAAGCGCCGACCGCGGGTTTTGATCCGCCGAGAAGGTCGCTCGACCGTCGATGTAGATCGGACGGTGCCGGTTGATCGCGTCGGATATGGCCCAGGCAGGCACGCGCGGCCGAGCGGCTTTGCCGGCCTAGGCCCAGGTTGCGGCCTGGGTGAGGGCAGCGCGCGCGCAGAGAAGGTGGGCCGGGCCGTTTTGCCGGTTTGGGCCACAACGCAGTGAAGATTGAGTCCGTTTTTATTTTTCTTTTTCCAGTAAAATGAAAATTGAATAAATGGCTCAAAGAAAATTAGAAAAGTGATTTTTCCTGTGGGTAAAATTCACTAAATTGAGTTAATTTTTCCGTTGCAAAGATTGTTTCATCATTTGATTAAATTTGGATTATTTTAATTGGAGGAGTAGCTATATTTATTTAAGTTAATTATAATATTGTTATTTTCTGACCAATGTTGATAATAACAATATTGTAATTTTATTTATAAGTTTGTCATGCATTAATTCTATTTATGCCCAACGGTGATGCAGAATTAATGTAGAAGAATTTTGTAATTATGATATTGCTATTTTTCTGACCAACGTTGATAATAGCAATATTATAATCTATTTATGAGTTTTTATGCATTAATTCTATTTCTGCCCAACGGTGATGTAGAGTTAATGTAGAAGAACATTGTATGTTTTAATTTTGACCAACGTTAAATTAAGACATGCAATTGTTGTATTAAAAATATCTCACTTTTTCTGATTCTGTTTTCAGGCTACAACCCAATGTCATTTATCTCAGCCATTCCGCCGCTAAATGGTAGCAATTATGGCGTATGGCGAGAGAAGTTAGATATGGCACTTGCGCTATCCGATAATGACCATGCACTCACCACACTGTGTCCCATTGTTCCTGAGAAACTAGTGCGGGAAGAAAATGAAGCTGAAGCTGCTTTCGCTACTCGTCAGCATGAGCATGCTACAGTGAGAATGAAGTATGATCTCGATCATGCGAAGTGGGTCAGCTCAAACCGCAAGTGTTTGATAGTGATCAAAAGTACAATTAAGGATCCCATAAGAGGGGCAATCCCAGAATGCACCACCGCTACAGAGTATCTAAAGAAGGTGGAGAGTCGGTTTACTGGCTCTTCAAAGGCTTATGCTAGCACTCTTATTAAGAGGCTAGTAAATGAGAAGTACACTGGCGGTGGGATAAGGGAGCACATACTAAGAAAGAGCAACACGACATCTAAGCTCAAACCAATGTACATGGGGCTTAAGGATGAGTTCCTAGTTCATTTGATTTTTGCTTCCTTGCCAAAAGAGTATGAGACATTTGTTATAAATTACAGTTTACAACCAGAAAAGTGGGATAGAGAAAAGCTCATTGCAATGTGTGTGCAAGAAGAGGAGAGGCTCAAGGGCTCACAAGGTGACACTGTCAACTATGTGAAGCACAATAAGAA